AGTGAGTAACTTTATAGATACTTGCAAGTCAAATTGAAAAAATGGGAACTAAACCTTTTGATTTTCAATAGTCAACATTATGTGAGACTAGTGACAGAGGGGAAAATGTTTGTGGAGACACAAATCGTCAGGTGAAGACACAAGGACAATGTGGACAATACTCACAGCTGTTAACCAAGTTTGTAATATTAATCAACACACTTAAAGTTGTCGTGTGGCTTTAGAGGCAGTTGTGTCTTGAAGGAAAAATATATTTTAAAATCTCATTTTGATGAAAGATTTAAATTTGAATTTCTGTCTTTTCTTTATTTTTTTTCCACTAAGTTGCTTCTGTTCCGTGACAAGTCCACAACAGATGATGATTCAGGTTTGATGGAGGCAGAGCACCTCAAACCTTTATTTACACTTAGATAATTAGTTTCTGACTTACTATCTCATAATAAAGACTGGAAATGCTGCCACATCAAGTAGCCTAACCAACCATCATAAAAACACTTTAAATGATCAAGCTTCGTTCTCTGTCATGTCTCTCAGCTCCATGATATTGTGGTCAAGAGAGATTGTGTGTTTTTGTGATGCACAAATATAAGTCAAATTATTTGTCCTCAGCAAAATTCAAGGATGGAATCTGTTTTTACGCAGTGTCCTGACGTGTGTGTGTGTTATTCTTATTCTATACAGGCTTATTTAAACTGGACTGTCGACTCATTAACCTGTGGCCTGATTCATGAACCATGTAAAACAGTGTTTCATCTGAAAGTTGAAACTATAGAGATCTTCTGCTGGTGTCACCGAAACTAAAGAGGAGAAGAAGAGAAGGTCCTGGATGAGCGCCACAGAAACACCGCGTCCCTCCCGCTGTTTATCAGCTGCAGGTGTCAGCCAATCGGAGCAGAGCCCCGGGACCGCGCCCCAGCCGCGTATCGGAACTCGTAAAGCGCTCAGGTGAAGTAAAACTCAGGTGTGGGTGTTGATCTGCAGTTTGAGACTCGGCACGATCTGTGGAGGAGCCGGAGCTGAAGGAAAGTGAAGGAGGCCATCACCGGTGAAGAACTAGAGGAGATGGAGGAGTGAGAACATGCGTAAAATCAAACTTTAGAGGAGAAACCAACTTTGTCCTCAACTTTTCATTTTCTTGGATTGTGAAGTTCTATGGAGTGATTGAGCCTCGACGACGTGGACGTTCACATCAGTTTGGATTGTTGTGCAGGGACTGTGCGTAAAAATGGATCTAACCATCTCCACATTCAGAGGGGCTTTACTGGTTGTATTCACAGCTTCATGTCTCCTGCATGGATCTAGAGGAGAAATCCCTCCAAAAACAACCGTCGGTGTCACGCTTCTCCCACCGGTTAAGCCTGAAGTCCCCCATGCTTATCCAAATGAGGAGAAGTCGAATCTACCGGTGTTTACAATGGATTATCCAAGAATACAGATACCATTTGAGATCACTCTGTGGGTGCTGCTGGCTTCGTTCGCAAAGATTGGTGAGTAACAGCAGCATTGAGTCAAACAAGGGATTTTTGTTTGTTTTCCACCTCCTTCTCCTCTCCCCCACTTTCTTGGTCATCCCAACCGGTGGAGGCACATGGCCCACACTGAGTCTGGTTCTGCAAGAACTTTCCCCCCATTTAAAGGATATTTTCTCTCTTCAGTGCCCAAGTGCTGGCTCTTTGTGTAAACTGCAGGGTTTCTATATTATATTGTAAGGTCTTGACCTTCTTATGCAAAGTGCTTTAGGTATGAAATAAAATTGAATCCAGTTGAATATAGAATGTGACTTTTCAGAGAGGATGAAGGAAAGTTGCCTGCAGACAGACAGGTGAGGCTTCTAGTGTTTTTAGAGAATTAAATCACAACTCTTCTCTCAGGTTTCCATGTGTACCACAAGATCACTGTCTGGGTGCCGGAGTCGTGCCTCCTCATCAGCATTGGTCTGATCGTTGGTGGCATCATGCACTCTGTCCATGAGGAACCCCCCGCTGTGCTGTCCAGCAACGTCTTCTTCCTTTACATGCTGCCTCCCATTGTCCTGGACTCCGGCTACTTCATGCCAACCAGGCCTTTCTTCGAGAACATTGGCACGGTGGGTGGCACGTCAGCCTCTGTCTCTTAAAACAGATTCAACTTCTTGTTCTCACACCAAAATAATTGACATTCATTGTTTTGGATGTGCAGGTGTTGTGGTTTGCAGTGGTGGGCACTCTGTGGAACAGCATAGGGATCGGCATGTCCCTGTTTGCCATTTGCCAGATTGAGGCTTTTGGTGTCCAGGACCTGAACCTCCAGGAGAACCTACTGTTTGCGACCATCATCTCGGCCGTGGACCCCGTGGCTGTGCTGAGCGTGTTTGAGGACGTGTCCGTGAACGAGCAGCTCTACATCGTGGTGTTTGGAGAATGCCTCTTCAACGATGCCGTCACTGTGGTGAGTTGGCTCATTCAAATGTTGAATTTGTGCAGATCAGTTACATTTTGAGATATTTTTTATGCTTCACTATCATGAGCTGAGACCTGCTGCAACATGTTTTGCCTGCTCAGGATCCCTCTGGGCTATTGGTTGTTATGAAAACATGCAATGCAAGGCACATTTTCTTATCAGGCACCTTATACACAGTTAATCAAAGTGCTTTACAAGCAAAACATGTAAATAAATGAGTGAATGAATAAAACAGACACATTTATGAGATAAATAAAACTATGATGGAACTGATGAACCGGTTTAGTTTCAAGCATGGCTACGGTTCAAGGGCTACTGACTGACAGGCAGCACGCTGGCTAAAGGCCATTTCAGCATGACCTCTTGGCAACACTAAATGACCAGTCCCTGCAGATATGAGTTCTACTTAGCAAACACATCTGCAATTTGTTTTGGGCCCAGACTAGACAAAGGGAGCGTTGTTTTATCCACATTTAAACCACTGATGTGTCTAAAATGTGCTTATGAAGGGAAGATTTCAGCACCCAGTTTACTCAATAGAGGCCTGACAGCCACTTGTTATGACAACATACAGTGAAGGGTACCATCGCAAACTGATCTCTGACCAAAACCCCCCACGATGATTGATCAACTGATCAATATTAGTCCAACGAAGGGGGTACGTTTTGTCTACGGGAATTTATAACTCCACCGACCCAAAGGACCTGTTTGGGACCTTGAGTTTCAAGAATATGAATTCATGAAACAACAGATTCACTGTTGTGTTGTCTGAAATGTTCCTGTTCTTTAAAACTAAAGGCTCAGCTCAGGTTTCACAAGGCACTGTACAGTTTGTCTCATTCTTTTTTTTATTTATTATTCTAGGTTAGAATACATGTATGAGAACATGATGTGTGGGAGGGAAAAGTCTGTGCCAAAGTGATAAATTATTCAAAACTTGAAGTGAGGGAATGTTGTCAGAGAAACAAACAGATACGTTTTCAGTCAAGAGCCCTGAACCGTTTAGACTATGTCACTGTTTCCTTAGATGCTGCAAAACCTGTTTCTGAAGTCAACGGTTCATTTGGTTATGGGAGGAGATAACACACACATACACACACACACACACACACAGCAGTGAGCTCATGCTGGAGTTTCTCCCCCCTGCCTCTCTTCATTGTGTTAAACCCACCCACAGAACCTACATTAACCTGCTCTTAGCTTTGGTGTGGTGACCCTTTTGTTTAGCACACAGTGGCAGAGCTGGTGCAGACGGTGAAGACAAACATTTGCCCAGGAGACTGGGAGAGTCCAGACACGTCCTGCACAGAAGTTTCTCTGTTTTTCAGAACAACACCAATCACAAAATAACACTTCTGATTAATATCAGATGTTGTCATCAGTGTGGTGATGGTTGCAGGGGTGCCATCAGGAGATGACACATCTCCCTGGCACCCACAAAACTCCAATCAAAGCCTACTCTTAATTTGGTCAAACGAGTTGCCATGGAACAACCGGAAGAATAAAAAAATTTAGAAAACCAAAATATCAGAAGGCCCCATTTCACTATATGAATTTCTGCTCCAGACACAGAATGATTACAGACAGGTGGACTGACACAACTAGTGATACTACAATGCAGGGGGATAAAAAAGTGGAATCAGTGTTTCCGATGGCCGGTATTTCCAGCTCCGCCCTTACATAAGAGTGCCAGTAATCTAATGTAAATGAGCCATCGATACACTGGCGTCTACTATTTCTTTATCACAATAGATGATAAAGAAATAGTACACGCCAGTTTCCTGGTAAGTCTTTCGGTGATAAAGAATTATGTCTCAACAATCTGAGGCTAATTATCAAGCCTTAGAAATTCAACACTTGTAAAGAGAATAAAGTCATGCTATTTCTTAAATGGAATTCATGGATAATAATAGAAATATCACTAGATTTGCTCTTTATTTGTGCCGTATCTTTTGTGTACTGTCTCTGCCTCAACATTTCACATTATTTCCAGTGTCTACAAATGTCAGATTTTCTTTGACTGTATTAAAAAAACGTAATGTGAGCCTGTGTGCAGTCAGATATAGTACTTGAACGCTGACTTTAAGATATAAGCTAAAAAGCTGATTTCATGCACAGGAGCAAAGGGAACGAAACCAATGCTCCTTTTCCATGAGTCATTCACTGCACTCGGTGAATTGAGTTTATCAAAATGCAAACAGTGCAGAGTAAATATTTCAATAAATCACTCATATCTAGAGCAGTGTTATTAGACGCCGCAGCCCCTGACACCACCCATGACCTCTGACTGCTGTGTGTGTGTGTGTGTGTGTGTGTGTGTGTGTGTGTGTGTGTGTGTGTGTGTGTGTGTGTGTGTGTGTGTGTGTGTGTGTGTGTGTGTGTGTGT